TTCGGCAAAATGAAGTTTCGGCCAAATGAAACCTTTCGGCCAAATGCTTCTTTCGGCCAGATGATCGAAGCTAACGAGAGTGGACTTTCGTTAAATGAGAATTCACTTTCGGCTATGTAAGTACATGCACGTAAGTTCACTTTGGTTTTAATTTGGAAACTTTCGTTGATTTCCATGTTGGAGCATGCATGTCGAACAAAAGTAATATATATATATATGTTCATGATTCAGCCTTAATGAAATTAACGAATGTTGTTTTCGTTTGTTTGCTTTCATATGTGCTGCATGCATGGATCTTTATTATATATATATTAATTATTTACTTTGCATGGTAATAACATGCAATGTTATAATAAATATATATAATATATATATTTTACTTTGTTATTTTGTATGCTGTGCATGAACCTACGTAGGTCCATGTCTTATGACATATATATGGTTCAATGTTTTCCCATGTATGATATATCAGATAAGATATATCTTATGGAAGTTAAGTTTTAAATTTGAATAAGTAACTTTCATGTAACCTCTCCTAACCATCAAAATATGTTATATAAATATTTGGAGAGACATCTGAAGAAACACAGAGAAAAGTTAACATATGCTATTGATGGAGGCAATCAACTTGCAGGAAACCAAGACATTTCACAGGTTTACAATTCTACAGGAAATTCTCAAACAGAGCAACTTGAGAATTTCATTCATCTTCTTGTATCCCATAAGATTAAATCTTGAACCTTGTTGCTTTTATAGAGGGAGATTTAAAGCTTATAGGAAAGTGATTACACGCCTGAAGATATCAAATGATCCAGTTTTTGTTCCCTGTTGTATTCTGTATTATTGTTGTATCTCAAATGTATTACAGCTTACAAGCACCTTTTTTTCCAACAGACTTCAAATATACTATTTAGATCCTTATTCTTTTATATATATAGAAATAGAAATTATATTATTAGATTTTCAGATAGGTATAGAATAATTAACTTTTTTTAATGAAGGGTTGAATTATTTTGGTTAATATTGGTTATAGAATTTTGTAAAATATAAAGAAAAAATGTCAAATAAATTATTACCATTTTCATGTTTGTGCAATTAAGTTACTAAACTTATAATGTAAGCAATTAAATCAAAAGTAAAACATGTGCAATTGAAATTTTTTTTTTATTTTCTCTTACCCCACATTACTTGCATGGTATGCTTTAAGAGTTTATATTCATTCTATTGTGCTAATTATAATAAAAATTGAAATATTTTCAACTCAAATTACACTAAAATAAATATAAAAAAAACGTTACATATGTGCATATTTTTTTTGTTTAATTGTTCAATTGCACACATTTTAAATTCAATGACTTAATAGCACAAAATTTATTAGTCATGTAGTCTACTTGACACTTTTTCTAAAAAAAAAAAAAAAAAAAAAAAAAAAAAAAAAAAAAAAAAAAAAAAAAAAAAAGCACAAATATATAAATAGTTAGGAGATGGTGAGGACGTGAGGTAATGACAAATGTTACATATCTCAAATAGTTTTAAATATGCATTGAGTAAGTGATTCCAACTTGTCAAAAAAAAAAAGCACAAATATATAAATAGTTAGGGGATGGTGAGGTAATGACAAATGTTACAATGTTACATATCTCAAATAGTTTTAAATGATGCCTTGAGTAAGTGATTCCAGCTTATAAGCAAGACGGTAACACGTAACTCTCTATAATGCATTTTTCATTGATTTAAATGAAAACCTACGATCGCTATCCAAAAGTGCATTATGGGTGAAGGTCGCATTGTACTTTAGCTGGCAAATGATCACAAGAAAGTAAATAAACTTAAGTTACTTATAGTTGACTGACTCATAACGAGAAGGCCAATATACATTTTTTTTTTTACAATAAGTTGAACCTTTAAGTATATCTATGATACATTTTTTCTATAAATGGGAAATCACACTTTTGGTCCCTCAATTATTAACAGATATGTAATGTAGTCCCTTGTTTTCAATTTGAACAAATTCGATCTTCAATCTTTCTAACTTTAGCCAATTTAGTCTTTTTGTGATATTTCTCATTAACAACCGTTTAAGGCATGTGCATTTTGAGAATTTCACACCCTACTTAATATTTTCCCCAATTCATTCCCTCCTCTACCAATGCCCAGCCTCACCTCCGTCGAAATTTTACCATTAATTTTACCATGTTGGATTAATGTTGTAGCTAGTACAGTTAAGTTGTTAACTAAGGTGCCTAGCTAGGGTACGGTAGAAGCTGCAGCTCAATAAAGTACTAAAGTAGAAAGTAGAAACCAGAAACCCCTCCTGGCGACGCTGTTAGGTACGTTTGCAGATGTTCTATAGAATAGAAATTCAACGATCACAATAGAAATTAATTGGAATCTTCAACACAACAACAACATTGAATCAAATTAAAATCCAACTTCTAGACATTCTCAAACGGGCTCATTATATCAAGGTAGGCCGGTTGTGAAAATTACGAAAACATAGTGGAGAAATTTGGTAAAAAAAGGAGGAGAAAATTACCTTAACTAGGAAATTTGTGAATGAGATACCTCATTTGGATGTGATTAGGGCAAAATCTAAGGATTTCCCTATCACTGGCTCGGCACACATCGGATCGATCAATACAAGGCAAGTTCTGATTCGATTCTCACTGGAAGATAATTGCAAGAAGATTTTAGCAAGAGGTTAGGCGCTAATCAAGAACAAGCCAGTTCGGTTCTCGCGGTGGTCGCCAAAGTGGAATGCAAGAAAATACCTACCTTCAATTCATAATTCAACGCCGCAGTGGTAAATGGAAACCCTTGTTCAGGTTGCTAAACAATTTATCATCATAGATCGGGAACCGAAGAGGGCAGCTTCGGCGACCAATGGTGTCAGTGTAGTCAGTCCTCCCAGAGGTGACGCGCGCAGCGCACAATGGAAGCGAGGCTGAGCAATGCGGCGGAGGTGAGGCTAAACATTGTGATTTCTTGTGAAATTCTTACCTATTGTTTTTACTATTGTAGACGATTTGGAGATTAGGGGATTCTGATTGCTTGTGAGTTGACTTATATATGGAATTTATAGATAGAAATAAGGAAAAAAAATATCATTTTGGTCCCCTCAATTATTTTTCAACTGTCAATGTAGCCCATAGTTTTCAATTTCAACTAATTTGATCATCGAGTTGTTTAAAATTTTGTAAATTAAACCATTCTGAGGGACCAAAATGGTAATTTCTCCATTTTTAAAATTTCGTCAACTTGGTCCTCGAAGGATTTAATTGATGAAATTTAAAAAAATTCAAGGATCAAATTAGTTGAAATTGAAAACTAGTGACTATATTGACAGTTAAGAAACAATTGAGGGACCAAATGGTGATTTCCCCTAGAAATAATGAAATGAAAGCCAAAATTACATGTTAACCCAACAAGATTAAATTAATGGTGAAATTTCGGCGAAGGTGAGGTTGAGCATTAGCAGAAGAGGGAAGGAAGTAGGGAAAATATTAAGTGTGGTGTGAAATTCCCAAAATACACATGTCTTAAACGATTGTAAATGAGAAATGTCATAGGCGGACTAAATTGGCTAAAGTTAAAAAGATTAAAGAATCTAATTTGTTCAAATTGAAAATCAGGAACTACATTGCATATATGCTAATAATTGAGAGACATATCTGCTAATAATTGAGCGACTTGAATCTCTGCTAATAATTGAGCGACCTGCATATCCACTAATAATTGAGCGACCAAAAGTGCGATTTCCCCTTGTATAAATTATATTGGAATTTTTAACACCTATAAAATAGAAATGAATTTTATAGAACAAGGTGATAAGGAAGTATTAAGTTTAATGTAATTTCAACAAGGGTTGAGCCTTAACAATCTCCTCAACCCTCTCCTCGCTCAATCCAAGAGCGGCTGCTAACTCCGGCCCTCTCAACAACAGCATCACTGAACCCTCGCCCACCAAGAACTGAAGCCGAAGAACACAAACGGCCCGTTCCTCGACGCTATCTGGCAGAACGGGAAGAAGCGCGGCACCCAAAACACGTCTCCCTCCGTACCTGCGCATTCATGGCCAGCGTGCCGTTGGGGTACACCACCTCAACTTCTCCCATTCCTTCCACCACTATACCGTACTCTATTGCCCTCGGATTTACATGCGACGCCATCATCGATCCCTACATTAATTATATTTAATAAGAGTATGTACGTGATCTGAGTGAGTGATTACATAATTAACATACGTATATATAGTACGTACCGCTATGAGATTGACGAGATAAACAGTAACGTCGGGGATTTTGAGAGGAGCATAATCGTTTTCGTCAACGGCCAAGCTCCACCCATACTCGTTACTGAAATCGGGCTTTTTGTCGTTGTCCAAGATATTGTAAGAATCTGGAGCTTCATTATTATTATTATTATTGCTGAAGAAGGGATAATAATGATTGGTTAACAGCTTCCTGATCAACAGCCATGGTGGCCAATAATGCTGCTGTTCTACTTGAGAATAATGCACAATTCTGTTGAGGTGAGCTAGTATAATTGGAGTTTGTTAAAGACACGATTGGACCCGACACTTTGGTGCCCACAAGTTTCGAAATCTCTACCATTGAAACCTGTAAGTACGTATAGTAGTTGTGTATGTTATGTTACAGGCCAGGAATATTAATATATAAATCAAGAAGAAGATTATGAAAAAATTGTAAAGATGAGATAGATTACTCACATTCAATGCGGTTGATAGCGTGTAAGGATCAAACCCGGCAAGAACAGATGTAGGATGCATGCCGCCACCAATGAAGAAAGACTGAAATTTAATTTATTCCATCAGTAGATCCAGTACGTACGTACTCTTCGATCAACTAACCCGACCTTGGTTAACGAAGAGGACGAGGTGGGAATCAAGGTACTGAGGAATGAGCAAGCTTTGAGGCTCCATAGTAATGAACCCAATATGCATCCATCTTCCACTTGTACTAGTGCTGCCTCTCACTACTTTAATCACTCCAGATTCGGTTCTCACCACCTCTTTGCCTTCCTGCAAAATCAAACTCTCTTCTTCCTCTACCTTCTACTGCACAATAAGCAACCAAAACCAGCACCACCAACAAAATCATCTGCTGCTTCCCCATTTTTGCACTGCAGATTTGCTTGCTTTCAAACGAACGGTGATCCAGGAGGAGAGGTTTATGTAGAGCTGGGGAGACATGAAAGGTGTAAGCCATGCATGATTTGCAACATATGCTGGCGCTTTCTAGTGTAGACACACACACACACAGATCACTTCTTTCTTTTTAATTGTTTGCCTATGCTCATGCCTTTCCTTGTAGCACTACTTTTATTGTTACGTTTCGCCCTTTTTCCCTTTCCTAGTTACATTGCTTTAATTTGTTGTGCAAATCCTAAGGTGCTATCACCAGTATTCACACTATCAAACCATAAACAAAAAAAAAAAAAAAAAAAAAAAAAAAAAAAAAAAAAACCAAGTGCAGCTCCCTTAAATTCTATCTCCGATCCTTAAAATGAGATATACCCCAACAAATCAAATAACAAAATACTTTATTTCAATATATATATATATTTATTTATTTATTTATTTATTTATTTACTTCAGAATTTAATTTACCCACGTGTAATCGATGAGGATTTGATATATCTGAATAATGAATAATGTGTCCAGTACATGGTATATCTAGCTGAGTAGACAAGACCTAATACAAGACAAATACTAATAATAATAATAGAGTAGTAGTAACAAACTAATAGTAATAACAATAGACTCCTAATACTCCCCCTCAAGCACAAGGTTGACCGGAAACAACATTGAGCTTGGTACAAAGAGTCGTGAAACGAGGACCTGGAAGAGCCTTAGTGGACACATCAGCTAACTGATCCTTCGTGGAGATGAAGCTCACTTGTAGTTCCTTCTGAGCCACCTTATCACGCACAAAGTGGTAGTCAATCTCTACGTGCTTTGTGCGAGCATGGAAAATCGGATTAGAGCATAAGTATGTTGCCCCCAAATTATCACACCAAAGGATGGGAGGCACAGCCAGCGAAATACCCAACTCTCGAAGCAGAGAGACTAGCCACGTGACCTCAGCCGACACATCAGTCAGTGCCTTGTACTCAGCTTCAGTGGATGACCGAGCCACCGTCCGTTGCTTCCGACACGACCAGGAGATTAGATTGCCACCCAGAAATACCGCAAAACCACTGGTGGATTTCCTGTCACTCGGATCACCAGCCCAGTCTGAATCCGAGAAAGCATGAACAGCAAGAGAAGAGGACGGACGGATAAAGAGACCGAAATGAAGAGTACCTTTCACATACCGGAGGACGCGTTTGAGCATAGCCCAATGCTCAGTAGTCGGGGAGTGCATGTGCTGACAAATCTGATTCACAGCAAAAGAGAGATCCGGACGGGTCACAGTAAGGTACTGAAGAGCTCCCGCAAGACTACGATACTGTGTGGGATCCGCATAGGGAGCTACAGAACTAGGCACCGGACAGGATACAGGCACCGGAGTAGCTAGTGGCTTGCAGTCCACCATACTTGCACGAGTCAAAATGTCCCGCATGTACCGTTGCTGAGAAAGAAAAAGACCACCATCCCGGGAGACTGTCTCAATAGCAAGAAAAAAGGACGGAGCACCCATGTCACGAATCTTGAACTCCGAGGCTAAGTCAAAGAGCAGACGACGCACACGAGCAGCGTCAAAACCCATCACAAGGATGTCATCAACATACACAAGTACATACAAGCAGACAGATTCATGAGAATAAATGAACAATGAAACATCCGTCTTGGAAGGTGAAAACCCCACCGAAACCAAGAAAGCACGTAACCTGTCAAATCACGCCCTAGGGGCCTGCTTAAGCCCTTACAACGACCGTTGCAGCAAACACACAGAATCCAAGCGGGCCTTGTCCTCATAGCCAGGCGGCTGCCTCATATAAACAGTCTCAGAGAGATTACCATTGAGAAACGCATTGTGCACGTCGAGCTGCCGAATTGTCCAACCCCGAGAGACAGCCAAAGACAGAAGAAGCCTCACAGTGGTTGGCTTGAAGACAGGACTGAAAGTCTCAAAAAAGTCCTGACCGGCCACCTGATTGAAACCTTTAGCCACTAACCGCGCCTTATGCCTCTTGACTGTGCCATCAGCCTTACGCTTCGTCCTGAACACCCATTTGCATCCAACAACATTCATATCCGGAGTGCGATCCACTAACCGCCAGGTGTTATTCTGAATCAAGGCATTAAACTCAAGATCCATGGCCGCACGCCACTCAGGATACCGAACCGCCTGAGAATAACAAGTCGGTTCAGAAACAGCCGTCAAAGCAACATGCTGAGTCGGTCCCTTTGAACGAGTCGCCATAACATGAGATGGGGGCGGAACCACCTTCGCTGCACGGCGGCCCCGCTTAGCCGTAGTAGCCGGGACCACATCCGTAACCGTGCGGGAATTCGAGGCAGTAGAAACATCAAGAGAAACAGAGTCGGCCACGGGACCACACGGAGCAGGAGCTACCACCGTCCCTGGGGTCGGCACAGCACCGTGCACCCCAAGACCTGGATCCACTCGAACAGCGCCAACACCCCACAGAGAGACCTGCTGAGGACTAGTAACCTGAGGAAGCACAGAAGCAGCAAACGGATATATGGTTTCATCAAATCGTACATGACGGCAAATGAATACCTTGTTAGTAGCAGGATCAAAACAACGATAGCCCCGAAACGAAGGCGGATAGCCAAGAAAAACACACGGGGAAGACCGATACTGTAACTTGTTACGATTATATGGACGTAACAGAGACAACCAAACATACGACGGATGAGAACGATGTAAGCGATAATGAGGGCTAACATTATCCAAGACACGAGTTGGCATCTTGTTAATAAGAAACACCGCAGTCTCAAAGGCATAGTCCCAATAGCGTTGTGGAACCGAAGCCTGAGCCAAGAGGGATAGACCCGTTTCCACAACGTGACGATGCCGACACTCAACCCTACCATTTTGTTCGTGGGTATAGGCACAGGATCGCCTATGATTAATGCCCAACGAAACAAAGGTACGGTGCAACCGATTATACTCTCCCCCTAAATCAGATTGTATAGAGACAATCTTACAACCATGAGAACGCTCAACAAGTGACCGAAACTGGTCGAAAATAGCATAAACATCAGTTTTCAACCGCATAGGATAAATCCACATAAAACGCGAATAGTCATCAACGAACAGAACAAAATACCGAAAACCATTAACAGAAGGAAATGGCGCAGGGCCCCAAATATCGGTATAAATAAGTTCAAGAACATGCGAAGTAGTAGTATCGACACGAGGCAAGGGAAACCGAGAGGATTTCCCTAGCATACAAGCACGACAAGAAACAGAACTATTACTAACACTAGAACTAATAGAACAAGAATTCAAAATCTGCCGCATGACACGAGGATGAGGATGCCCCAGCCGTCCATGCCAAACATCAGAGGAGACACTAGAAGCCACTAACGCAGCAGGACTCGAACGAGTAACAGGCCAGGAATAGAGACCTCCCGAAGCCAACCCTTTATACATAATAGCCTTGGTTGAACGATCCTTCACAAAGAAACAATCAGAGTGAAATTCAAAGAAGACTCTATTATCGCGAGCAAAGCGTTGGACAGACAATAACGACGCAGAAAGCCCAGGAACATATAACACATCAGATAATCGAAACAGTACTGTATGAGAAGAGGCTAACGAAGAAGAACCTGTACCAACAATAGGCAGACACTTACCATCACCAACACGAAGCTGATCCGAACCATTATAAGGAGCCGACGAGGACACTAACGACGGATCCGGCGTGGCATGATTAGACGCACCGGTGTCAGGAAACCATTGGTGCACATCAACAGAGGCCGCATCATCCACGGGATACGCAACATTAGCTCTCGGCCCCGGAGCTCCGTCATATCGGCGAAAACAAGTGGCGGCCGAATGTCCTTGACCGGAGCAAATCTGACATTAAACAACGCCGGCACCACCATGACCACGAACACGCCCCTTGCCGCGACCACGGCCACGGTTATCGCCTCCACGCTGTTGATCACCCGAACGACCACCATCACGTTGTGCCGCCATAGCCACCGGTGCAACAGCAACATCCCCAGCTTCGTCCGCACAGATGAAAGCCTGAGAGATAAGAAAATCAGACAGTTCGGACAAAGAAACAAGAGGACCACGCGTCAGAGACGCCACCAGGGGGCAGTATTCCGACCGAAGACCACGGAAGATGTACATGTTCTGATCTTCCAGCGTCACCAGACGACCGGCGAGCACTAAATCCTCGATGAGAACCTGCGCACGACCAAGATAATCAGGAATCGAAGCATCTCCTTGCCGCAACCCCTGCAATTCACCCACCAAACGAAGAGCACACGCCCGAGTCGTCGACCCGAGCGTCTGTTCAATTGACAACCATAGGTGCCGAGACGTCGACTTGCCGATGGCGAGATGCATCATCTCATCAGACAACGATGAGATGAGAAGAGACAACACAGCTTTGTCTTGCCGCAACCAAGCCGCCCGAGCAGCGGAAGAAGAAGCGGGCAGAACAACAGCAACAACCCCCTCAGCCGAGGGTACCATGAGCGCCGTGAGTGGTGGGCAGGAGGACGAACCGTCAACAAACCCTAGCAACCCTTGTCCATCAAGAAAAGGAAGCAGTTGAGTACGCCAAAACAAAAAGTTGCGAAAGGACAACTTAATGGAGACAAAGTGGTGTGCCGAGTAGAAAGACACCCTCGACAATGGCGCAGCAAAAGAAGCCTCGAAAACGGTCCACCCGGAACTGCCGACAGAGCCGTCATCACCGTTGACATGCACCATAGAGAGAAAGAATTAAACCTGCCGATACCAGATGAGGATTTGATATATCTGAATAATGAATAATGTATCCAGTACATGGTATATCTAGCTGAGTAGACAAGACCTAATACAAGACAAATACTAATAATAATAGAGTCCTAATAGTAATAACAATAGACTCCTAATATAATCATTCGTTGTATATATGTGCTACTTTCGCACATAATCATGTATTGAATGTTAAATGCGTGTAGTAACGGGAGAATTATCTAATTTCCTAAAAAACTTCAACATCTCCATAATTTGCAAATATGCAATTAACCTCTATTACTCTATACGATCAAGAGTAAATACAATGTTCTATACAAATGAATTTTGAAGAGCTGACGACTATGCAGCATTCCTTATTTCAACGCCTAAGTACTCCTTTAATTTCTTGCAAAATTCATACCCCCAAACTAGGCATTCAAAATTGCCATTTTTTGCAGTTCACGTATTTAATTATTTTCATAAGAAACTGAATGAAAACAGCAATTAATAGAATTGAATGACTCCTGTCATTGCAATGAGTGGCTCAACCTCAACACGCTTGGCCTTTCCTTCTTGAAGTAATTGCGGTAGTGAATTGGCTTCTACAGGCGCAGTTCCTTTGCTGGTCCATAATGTCACATGAGACCATTCATTTTTAGACTGAATCTTTTCACCATTAATAGAGCCAATGCAAGCTTCAAGTGCAGCCACCCTTTCAGAGAATAATAGAGCCGTCATTTCTACAGGCACCTGTTGATGAAGAAAGGGAGCAAAACTTGCAAGAGTTGCCACACTGTGACTTCCTTTATGAGCAAGCGTCACGTGGGCCTTTTGAAGGTGGCTTCCCAAGTTTTTGTCCTTAAGAAAAGCTCCGGCTTCAGAGTCATTCTTAGCCAACTGTCCAAATTGTTAATCAGATCGTTAGATGAAAAGTTTAGCCTCCCAAACTATGTGGTTTGTGATGTGTATATGAGATTTGCTACTAGTAGATATGATTCAATTTGCAGAAATATTGTGTTTGTCAGCCTAACTTATCTTGGAGCTCATCTACTCTAAAAAGAAGAAGCTCAACCAAACAATAAAAATCACAAAGTGGCATTTCAGGCCTGATAACAAGAAGCCACCTCTTTTTCAAGGAGTACCAGATAAAAGCTTTTTAGAAAAACCTCTTTTTGACTGGGCCAAACAAGCTAACAGGTAGGTTGAGCTATTCATTCACAACCACTTCGCTTCAGAAAAAAAAAAATCTAATAAAAGGTCAAAAAACACCACCACAGCAACACTACTGCAGTACTGCCAATGGCATGTAAACAGATTTAATAGATAAAATTAAATCCTAATGTTTACTCCATGACATAGAGTTACTGCATGGATTTGTTGTTATTATTATTATTACTATTACTATTATTATTATTTTGATAATGCTTATCTGATTATTCATGATAGAATCAACCAACTCCCACATAGCCAATGAATATAAAAAATTTCTCTTTTAAATCATCATACAAATAATTGCCACATCAGGGAGTAATTTTAGGAGGGTGGTGGTAAAATAACATTTTTCTTAATAGATTTAGGCATTTTACAAACAGTAAAAATGTTGATGTCTTTAAGATCTATAGTGCTCTACCAAGTTTTAGAAATGCAGATAGAGAAGTGAAGAGGGGGGGAAACAAGCTTACATTATCAAGAAGACTTTGGATTTCTGTAACAGGCAAGCTGACGGCAGCAAACACAATTGTTCCAAGCTTCCTCTTCTCAATTGCTGGTGTCTCACCCGTAGCAATAGCCCTCAGTTGTTCCAATACTTGTTTAACAGCAAATTCAAATGAAACCTG